AATGATATTTTTCCGTKTCARWTAYACTTAATTGTGATTCCATGAGTCGTTGAWAATGGGATACGAATATCATGCTAAAMGTACAATAGAAAGTTCAATGGTTCGACTTGCTTCTTACGGTCAGACCAACCACTGTTCTTCAATGAAAGATCTTTGAAGATTCGTAGAACTTTGTCTCCATTTGAGTAGCTAATTCCTAGTACGTACATAGAATTAATCAGTCGTACGAGTATCGTACGATTATCCCAGGGTTCGAATACCTTTCCGCCAGCTCCTGAAAAATCTTTCACTTTTCCGAACACCCAGAATTTCACAAAGCGCGTCGTGGAAATTCATTATTTCATTCAACTTTTCACCTTCTCACCATGAACTTTGCGACAGCTACTTTATGTGCCGGACTKGCCGTGTCTGGGAAGTTCTTATCGAACTACTACCAATTCCTCTCTTCTTCACAGAGCGATGAAGTCGGCTTTCTCGAAACAGTTGACAAGCAGATGGCGAGCAATGCTGCAGTCGCAGGCGTCGGTCTTGGTCTTATCTTCTACTGTGTCCTCAGCTTTGCAAGAAGCTACTACAAGTTTCGCTTCTCTCCCCTTCGTGACGCACCAGGATTTGGTCCGAAATCTTTTGTGTATGGAATGTTCTATGAATTCCTCGAGGCGCCATTCATGGAACCTCCAATCGAAGCCCTGAAGAAGCTACGTAAAGGAGGCAAAGAYGTCCCATTTCTTGCCTACACAACTCTTTTTGGAAGCCAAAGGCTTTTGTTATTGGACTGCGACTTGGTGAAGCACGTCTTTACTTCGCCATCAGGTAGAGATCCAATGAGATACCCCAAGCACTACGTTTACTTGAGAGAGGTTGTGGGAGATGGTCTCGTCGTCGTTGAGGGCACTGAATGGAGTCGCCATCGTCGAATCATCCAGCCMGCGTTTCAATCTGTTTTTCTGAAAGATGCTATYAGTATGGTCGTCCCCGCCTTGGTAGAGAATCTTGTAGAGGTATGGAAGAAGACTGCTGGGGCAACGATCAATCTGAATGCCCATCTTTCGCTAATCACTCTTGACGTGATTGGAAAAGTTGCTTTTTCGCACGAGTTCAATGCTTCCAAACTGCTCAACGAATGGGCCGAATGTCCYGATAAGGAAYTGGGGGAGGTTGACGATCCGTTGATTTCATCCATCGGTGATGCCTTTTCCTCRAGCCCTCTCAAATTAATGCTTACCGTGTTGAAGCAGCCATGGCTCGAGAAATACTTGAGTCCTGCCTTCAGAACTTCACGCAATTTACTGAACAAGGCAGCAGATGACATCGTACAGAATGCCAAGAACATCGATGATCCTAAACGACGAAGCGTATTGAACCTGATGATGGAAGCTAAGGACGATGAATCCAGCAAGGCTCGCAATAAGTTGACAGACACCGAGCTCCGCGATGAAGTYAAAACATTTCTTGTTGCTGGCCACGAAACAACRTCGACTTGGGTTCATTGGGCTTTATATGTACTTGCGATTCGCCCAGATCTCCAAGATAAGGTACACGCTGACATCATGAAGCACGCGTCCGACGACAAGACTATTTTACTGGAACAAGCCGATCAAATGGAATATCTGTGGGCCTTCATGAACGAAACTCTTCGTTTGTACTCACCTCTCGGATTGATCAGCCGTGTCACTCACAAGGAAGAAAACTTCAAGGGCTACAMGATCCCAGTGGGAACGAATCTGAGAATTCCTATTCACTTGATTCATAGACATCCTGATCATTGGAAGGACCCCGAAGAGTTTCTACCCGAACGTTGGTTCGACAAAGAAGAAACGAGCAAGAGACACAAGTTCGCTTTCGTCCCCTTTGCAGCAGGGGGAAGAAACTGCATCGGTCAGCGTTTCGCTACGATGGAGGCCAAAATTATACTCGCAAATGTTGCCAAGAATTTCGAAATCCATTTGGCTGATTCCATGAAGGGCAAGAAAATTACATTCAGTAATTTCATTTCTTTGAAGTGCAAACCCGAGATTGAAATTCGGGTGACACCTCGAGAATAGGTGAGTTGTCAGAATGTTTCGAATTAAAACGAGGCTGGCGTCATGTCAGTTTCTATTAACAGCTAGAATAAAAAATTACAGCAGAATTTGACGCTCATTTCTTGTTACAATTAATGGTAGTAGGTAAGAGTATGGCTAAGACGTACAGGTGCAGTAGTAAGAAAGATGAACACRTTGACTTCGATAATTCGTGACAAAAGAAAAGCGGATTATTAGCTAGATCGTAGTACCCCTAAGAACAAAAAAACTACAGAACGTACTTCACGCCGGCGTACCGGTAAACTCGTCAACACCAAAAATCTAGATGAGGAAGGACTACAGYAGTAAAAATTCAGGTGTTTTTTTCAGATTGACCGACCCTGCCTGTTGAGAAGTAGAATAACTGCGGTACGGTACTGTACTAAATTATTCGAGAGTAATGTAGGCACTGACCACGGCGTTCCAACGGCAAGAGATGACGAAACGGATCGATAGACGACGTGTTGAAAAATTAAAKAGGAACAATAAATACTTTGTTTTCTGGGAAAAATATCAATAATCGATACTAGTGGTTGTTTATTATTGATTACTGTATTGAAGGTTCAAAAGATGCAATTTTCTTCGTCAGATTGTTTTACGATTCTCAATCTTCGAAAAAAGGTTTTTCTAGGAAACACYAATTCATTCACCAACAACAACACGAAGGTCACATAATCTGATGCACAACCACCGAACAGCAAATACCGATTCACCTACCATGCCCCCTCGAGATATGGATAATGACCGARATGATGATGCTACTGTATCTGAATTTACAAGACTATTAYCTAACGTTGAAGCGACAACGAAAAATGAAAGTAGCGTAAAAGGAGATGCCGAGATTGAGAACCTGCCCCGCGTCGTCTTTGCTCTCTCCTTTACACTCCTTGTTCAGTCCTATCTTTTGGTCTCTGTCTTTCCTTACTCGGGATTCATGGCTATGCATTTGATGCCAGAACTGAACGAAGAAACTGCTGGAAGCTATGCTGGGYTTATTGCTTCCTCATTTATGATCGGCAGAGCGTTTTCGAGTTTTGAATGGGGAAAGGCTGCCGACAGATACGGTCGGGTATTCGTTATAGAAATGTCTCTACTCCTTTCTGCTGTATTTTCAATACTCTTTGGTTTGGCTCCAACTTTTCCAACYGCTTTGATCTTGCGATGCCTGCTTGGATCGTGCAACGGTCTCATTGGACCGGTCAAAACCCTAGTATCCGAATATGCCCGCGGAGATAACAACAAAGAAACTCAGATGATGGCGATCATTCTGGGAATGTGGGGCTATGGAATGCTTATKAATCCGGCGATTTCTGGTTACTTGTCTGACCCCGTCAAACAATACCCAGGTGCCGACTTCGGAAGCATTTTGCTTCCTTTTCTTGAAGAATTTCCATTCTTCCTCCCAAATCTCGTTGGTTGTTTCTTCTGTYTGTTTGGTTATGTATTAGTTCACAATTTTGTGGACGAAACATTGCCTGAAGAAAGGCGAAAGGAGTTTCACCTAGCCAGCATTCTCCCTTGCATTAAATCTGATCACAAGATGATGCGAAGATTGTCGTCCTGGGGACTCTTCAAACATCTTCAYAACTCCGATGGAGAAATCTCTGAAGACTCGAATRTTCTTCTATCCTGTTCCCAAGRTTRTGAYGAAYATGGGAAGRAGAAGGAGGAGGATGAAGATCCGGTRACAATTCTTTGTCTGATGCGACGCGAAGGCACAAGACAACATTTGTGGGTGTATTGGGTATATTCATTCCTCATGATTACACTTTCTGAAGTATTCCCGCTCTATTGTATGTCAACAGTATCTGGTTTAGGTATTACAGAAAAAATTATTGGCAATATCCTATCAGGTTGTGGATTGATTTACGTTGGTATGCAATACTTCATCGTTACAGGACTTGTTGATCGGTATGGCTTTTACAAGTCACTAAGAATTGGAGCCTATTTGAGTATACCACTTGCCGTTTTTTTTCCGATTTCGTTGATTACGAACAGAGCCGCACCAGATGGGACACTATCGTTGGCGTCACTTGTATTCTTGAGCACCCTATTTGCTATCATTCGGTCTTTTTCTTCTTTGGTATTTTCGACCATTACCATGGCGACAAACCGAACTGTGCAAGAGCATCATCGAGCTACCTTGAATGGTTTGGCAATGCTTGGCGGTTCGTTCGCCAAAGGTCTTGGTCCGCTCTTCGGTGGTATTTTATTTTCGACGAGTGTCAACAACGTGACTCCTCCATTTGGATCGGTAGTCGTATACACCACGATAGGAATCTTAGGCCTTTTCCTATGCGTACAAGCGTACTTCTTGCGCGAACCTTGCGAAAACGATAAGCAAGCAAGAAAAGCGACGAACGATGATATGGTTGACCCTGACCTGGATTTGGAAGAAGAGCAACATCCAAGTTTTTAATCCGGCGTRGATCTTGAACTCTCTATTGTGTARGAAGGACAATTTCTCCGGATCTCAGGTGTCATGGAAATCTATCGGTTTCAACTGGTCGTTTCAAAATATGTTTAATTCCGTAAGATACCCAGAAATGCGTCGCTAGTAGATGCTGAAGTATAATACTATTTTAGAAATGGTARTGTTATTGAATGAATCTGGTAACTTCATAAATTAGAAGAAAAAGAGCGGTGGGGAAATTGTTGTCCCAAACGAACTGCATGACATGGCATGGAGAAATGAATTGTCTATTTTTTGTTCTTTCCTGGCACGGGRCAATACTCTGWTTCCTCRTCTATCACCTTGAGGGTCAAATCGTTGCTTACGGATGTCGTGATCGTGGATCTGGATCGGTCGTCGCATCCCATCGTTTCGCCGCTTTTACCGCTGTTCTTGTAATTTTTGTACTTATTTTTCTTGCTGTTGCAATTAAGATTGCTACGAGCTCCCCTGGCGACCTCCCTGCCGCACGCTTCGTCTTCATCCCTCAACGTGACCATGTTGATGGCAAACGAACCCTTGCTGTCAAGCTTTCGTCGCCTCTCTAGTGCCCGTTTCAAGAGTTTGAGCCGCTGCACCTTATTTAATACCCCGTCCGTCCTGTTGTCTTCGTTCCCGTCCCCTTTTGTTTGCTTTTGGATCTGCTCCTGTTCCCTTTTCTGCCTTCGAWATTGTTCTATGGTTTCTTTCCAATTCATTTCGATGTCGCTGCTGCTAATCCCGTCGATGGTRCTTTTATGGTTGCCCCCGCCGTTGTTTTCATCTTGACCCGTGGTTGTGCTGCTGGTGACACTCGTCGTCGTTAATCCTTGCGCCTCGGCAGAGATCGCCTCCAGAATTGCAGAACCCCTCGTCCGGAAATCTTGGGCGCYTTCTTTCGCACTACTTTTTGCATCTCCGCAATCATMAGTTTCGCAATTAGGCTCGCTGTCGCTATCGATATCAGGCACGGGCACGTGCCGCAAGTGCCGTTTTCGAGAAAAGATGTTTAGTTTCGAAACGAGTTTTGCCGAAACCATCGGCATTCTTTCGATTGGTCGGCAAAAAGAGAGTGCTTTGTTTTAGATTATGAGTGKTGYTGCTGCGCGTACTTTTCCTGTGRGCTGTATTATGTTCTCTTSGATTGYAACTATTGGCTACATTGAATTCTCTTTCTGCGTTGCTTCCTTTACCTGCAAGTACACATACAGCCAACTAACCTCACAACAAAGAGTTCGGCAGCCAGATCTTGTCGGGATCAGACACAGAATCAACGCCTCGGTCGGGCGCAACAGCAATAATTAGCCTATCGCTTTCTACGACGATGTGAGCGTGAGCAGACCACGAGTTCTCTTCGTACCAATCGCTTGTATTATCAGAGTGGACTTCTCTGACAATGAATTATTTTCGAGAATCACTACAGYAGCGCAGAAATCAAAACACAGCGTCATCGATCGTCGAATRCATGAATGGAACAGTCAGTCAACCAATCATCGCTGCACAAGTCATTTACATCGTACTAAGTAGTAGCAGATCTATGGAAACTTTGGCAACAACAACGGTTGGACAGAAATACCATGAGCATYCATTCTTCGCAACAGAAACCGTATTTTTCGTCGAACTCGGTGGCACGCATCGCAAAATATGATGGCCTATTGCTAATGGATAGTTCCGTATTTTACCGTTACTGGAAGCCGATGAATTTGTATCATTGAAAACGATTTTTTATAGAGAACAAATCATGAAAAATGAAACTCTGGCATAAGTGTTTCGAGAATATCCCCGTGCCGTCATACAAGATTATGGTGGCATGGGACGCCGGCCATTTCTGTTCTCCACGACCCACATGTTCTGTGTTGTGTCAAATATTGTTCTCTTTCCTAAATAAAGGAACGGCGGTTCGTTTTTCTTCGGCTTTCGGTAGTACGGTACTGATCACGCAGTACGTACAGTACAATAATACCGTAGGACAAAATCCACTTACGTTACTGGTGTGAGACAGTACGTACCACATATTAGATCCTAGATTGTTTCGGATTGTCGACTRTCGACTTGTTCCACAGAAAAACAGAATTCGTCCAAACCGACCAGGCACGCGCGCTTTTAAAAGACTTCTCGCAATTAGTTTGCGTCGAGTGTCCGGGACTAATAGAATGTACTTCTACATACGTTACAAAAAAGCTACATACGGAGTACTAAGGAAGATGCAAAGCCTTCCACCACAATTATTTTCGGATTTTTGTTAAAAACGGACCACTTCTCAGACTACAGTAATACCGTAGGGTAGCGGGTAAAAGAAACTATTACGAGTGTTCGTATTACCAGTACTGATCATACAGGGCGTACTACATTAACACGAAACGGAAGCGAAACAATTGGAATCGGACCCGCAAAGAAACTGAGTGAGACGACCGATAGATTTTTTCAAAGAGARATAATTCCTGCCTCCAGTTATCAGCCAGCCAGAAATTKGTTGATTGATACATGCCCCGGTTGGATGCAGCACGGCATGACACTGTATTGATCCTTYCTTCCTRCCTACCTTTTCCTTCTCATTTTTTGATCAGCCTTTGGTACACAACTGTGCACTGCATAGTCAAAGAAGAGACCATATTCGTCAACATTAYCATGGAAGTCGTACTGCTGTACGGTGCGTGCTCGGCTGCAGAATCGCTGGGGAGGATACTCTTCACAYCCGTCGCCACTGGAGRGCGCAGCGAAGGAGATGTGGCAAAAGAGRAGGACAACGATTCYTGCTCTTCGCTATCGGCGATTGGAATAGAGGTGAACGCAAACGGAGACGCAACRGTTGAAACAACCACACGGGCAAACACAAGCGCAAAAAAGGCAACGATCGAAGTAGATGACGCATCGGTCGTTCCGGTCTGTGAAGACGCCCACAGCTACGATTCACCCTGGGGGAGGCTCAAGGCAAGGCGGAGGTCCCCGCAGAAAAATCCGCACCCACCGCTCTCGATGATCGATACCATAGTGATTCCCTCYCATTCYGCTTCTTCCTCCACCGCGAGCACGAGCAGCTCCACGATATTTGATTCCGCCGATAGCAGCACGAGCGGCAGCATCCACGAGAGCGTTGCCGATTCATTGCAACACACTGCGAGGCGGCCATCGGCACCCTCGATCGAGGTCACTCTTTGCACCGGCCGGTCACCGCAATCCTCCTCCTATGGTGGTTTGCCAACCCATTCCCTTTCGTCCTCCTCGTTCTGCTCCTCTTCATCCTCCGTCGTGTACCTCTCGAGTCCCCTGTCGTCGTCGCAGGACGCACATCCAAGGCACAAGATGTCCACCCAGACAAACAGTCGGYTTTTAGGTCGYACTTCTCGAATACGAAGGGTCAGGGAGCTCCTAAAGGAAGACGTAGGACACCGGCAGCGGCGCAAGGAAAAACTGCTCGATCGAGAGCGGTGCGAAAARGATGGCCGAAAAAGCTCGAGGCRCCAGTCCAGAAAAGCGATCCCCGGTCAGCAGAATGGATCTGCTAGCAGGTAGCAGGCAATCCCGGGACGAACCCAAGTGCTACGCTAGCACCGGATGCCACGGGATCGYTGGTACACGAAACAAAACGAAATGGTGCTCCTCTGCGATTTCTCTTGTTACCTTTCTATTGCTGTGATATTGTTGTTCCTACCACCCTTGCGAACAATTATTGAGTGCAACTATTATATGTTATAGACCACTTGGCTTCTTAATAGATTAAAATAAAATACAATACAATACTAGTAYTTCACTTCAAACTTGACGCACGACAGTGCATGCTTTTGAAGCATAKTTGTTGCCATGCAACTGCGCGCATCTTCTCTTTTTGCTGACAGCTTGCTCGTTCAGAAGAAAAGCTTCCYGTCGTTGATTGAGATAGCCATTATCWACAAAGGGGCGCCAAGTACCATGGACAGTGTCCTGGCTGACAAAAGGACATCGATAATGCCATCAGCACGACAATTGGAGAAAAGTACTACCCTGCAGCAGTAGCAGCAGCTGCTGCTGGATGCACACGCTACATTGCGTTTGGACAGCTGCGAATTGCCTCAGTGGAATTGCAGCAGCAATCAAATTATTGGTGTAAGGGATGGAAAATGTCCTGTTTCATTGGATTTGTAAATTGATCTCATTGGGAATATTGAATACTACTACTACTACTCGAAGAAAAAGTATGGACGAGATGATTACTGCAGTATGTTGTATGTTCCCCTCCTTAAAAATTTGAATGCTACTGTGAGCCTAATACACGTAGAACACTTAAATCACGAGTGAATAGGGAGTAACTCACCACCTCCACTCACTCTTTATTGTAAACACGTAATTATACGGCACTAAAGAGCAATTGTATACTTCGCAGGTTATGAGTTGTGTACTAATGTGGTACTGTACCGTACTGATGAAGGATATGATGGTTACSATACGCACGTACTAGTTAGTACCTTCCTATGATTTCTGAGTCGTACCGGTATGACTATTGAGTCTAGATCACGAGTAGCTAGTGAATAACCTCACTTTTTATTGTCAATTACGACACCATTAAAGTTTCGTACCGGTACTACCCGTACTCGTACCCATCAATTGATCAATAATTTTGTGCATCCGAGTTGTGAGATCTGAGGACAATCTGAAAGGAATCTAGTTCTSAATGGCTTTGTTGAACTCAGTCCGGTCGACAAATTAGAAAGAGCTAGAAAAGGCCTCAAAATTTGACKGGAACATGGATGGGAAAATCCCCAAGAATAGCTGTGATGGGATGGACACAGCAATTGACGGGGTCGATGGGGGTTCTTCWCTGTCGCCATCGGGAGTGCCGAGGCCGATTCCGGTCGAGTCTGTTYCACCTGATACCAAGCCCATGACAACGGAAACAAAGAAAAACATCATTGTTTTCCAAAACGAGCAGAACTTTTCTCTCGTCGAAGTACTCGAGGAAAAGGAGCACAAAGAAGAAGACCGGGTTCGGGTCACCACAGCCCTCTGCCTCMACSTCGAACCGAAAGCTTGCAGCCGAGTAGTGAAGGAATTGTCGGCGACGCTGCCTCTAGAAGATGGYTTGTCCCATTTGAAACGAGTGCGGAGGCGGGTTCTGCCAATGCCGTCGTCGCTTCCCGAAGCGAAGCCAGCTTTGGAAACAGAAACATCACAAGCAACGAAGTCCACAACGACGACATCAACGAAGACAAASCACCAGCACACCAAAGAGGGAAACCCATCCTTTCCTGTAAAGAAGGAGGAAGGGGAAACAGGTGCGAAAAGYAAAGCCGCGGCGGAAACATTATCATCTTCTTCTGGCCAAAAGCGACCGAAGAAACGTCGGAAAAAATCATCGTCGAAACAAAACTTTGTCCTGGAAATCTTGATTGGAACACGGTCGCACCTGGTACAACGATCCAAGCAACAGAATCCTTCCTCCGAATTGTCCTTGACGAAAGTACATCCGATCGTTCGCGAGTTTGGACCTCTCTACGAGGTTGTGGTTCCCAAGTACGAACCCCGGTCCGAGCAAGAGTGGAAGGAACACAACCAATCCTGGCCGACCCATTATTATCCACTCAAGTTCGACGAACACCTGCAACACATACAACAGCAGCAATCGGCTCTGTCCCAGCACGAAATCGACGACATGCGAGAATTAATGGAGCGGTGCATYGMGACCAKGTCCGTCTTGATTGTAGATCCGAATCACGAATCACGGAATCGGAAGGAATCGGCCGCTGCTAGCGATGCTATCCATGCTRCAAATGAAAAGAAACGACAAAATAAAACAGCATCCGACCACTGTACAATCGGCATCATCGAGARCGATAACAACARATACAACAATGACAGGCGTCGTGTTGAAGCTGGCATTGTGAGCATTTCAACAAACGAACAGGAACTGCAAGGTGCAAACCAACAAAAATTTCACAATCCCCTCGCGACACCCGTTCTTTTTGCCATCCAGGGCGTTAGTCGGCGGGAGCGAGAAGCCACCGCAGGCATTCAGAGCAGCGACAAAGACGTAGCTGAGGGTTCTCGCAATGACGCCTATTCCAAAATGAAAGTCAGAGCCATCGCAGAGCAGCAGCTGGATACAGCCATTAGCGCAGGATCAACACCAACCACCGACGATCTTCCCGCTGCTGCTGCCTCGGGGCGCCACAACTCGTACCCTTTGGGAACGCGCTTGAAAAAATTCTTCGCGAAGCAACGGGCCTGGTACCTCGGAACCATCSTCTCATACGATACCGAATCAAGRTTTTATTTCATTAAATACGACGATGGAGACACCGAGGAGTTGGAGCACCACGAGATCGACACGAACTTGTCTGATCTTCCGACCAGCAAGTATGAGGAAGGATTCCAGTACGAGACTAGGAAARCATACAAAACGAAGAAACGCAAGACGCGGGGGAACTCAAAAGCACATGCTGATCTCRTATGCTGGGTCATCGGGACRGTGAAATCCAGGTACTTTTACRCACCGAAGAAGGCCAARGGATTCTGGTGCTATCGTGTAGTCTTGGAAGGSTTGAAWGGGGATATYACGCAAGACGTCGACGAAGAATTCATTACGAGAAGCATAGAAGACGCCAAGAGCAAAAAGGGCCACCTCGCACACCTCGGCTCGCCGCTATCGGTAGCAACAAGCGAGCCATCACATGCTAAGCCAGAATTCACCATTTCCAATGGAGGCACAGGTCGTGACCAACCACAGGACGCAACAAAAACAAATGCAGATCACGACCATGGCGACCATGGCGACAACCAACAGGAGCTACCAACCGGTGGAGGCAAAGAACTCGGTGAGAAAAGCGAAAAACCAAAACAGGAACAAACGAAGGGGCAATACATATGCACGGGATACGACATGTACAGCTTTTACGAGCCTTCGGTTTTCGAGGCGATGGCGTGTTTGCATTCTCGATTGAGGCGTTTGATCTACTTCGTTCCCTCCAAGGGGAGCGATATTCAGYCAACTGCAAACAATGCCGTCTGGAGTCGTGGCATTTCGAGACACGGTGTTCACCACTTGCCGGGAACAAATCACAGCTATAGAGCCTTTGAATATCGGCGATCGTCGTTTTCCTGCTGAAGTAAAARCGGGCGGAGCATCAATTATATGATTCGCTCATCCAGATGTGCTATGTCATTGCMARTAATTGTAGTTTATCTCCTAAGAACAAGAACAGGTATTTTTTTTGGTAATCTTTTCGTAGCAAATCACCTGCAAACACTACGTATATACTATCTCTGGTGTTATACTACAAAAACCTAATATTTCTGTTTTTGTTCCAGAAAATCTGTCAAGCACAATACGACTCCACCTTTTCTTTTATTTCTAGTACTATTTACTACCAGTACCATAACAAAACATTTTTTAGAGTATTAAAACTACCATGTACACTACCAAGGCCATCACTATGATAGTAGTGTTATTAGTAGCTAGTTGTACTACTAGTAGTAATTACTCTAGATCAGAACATGTGCTAGAAGTGCAGCTTTGCTAAACAATAAGCTCAAYGATTGGCCAATTTGAATGGYTCTTTTTTCTCATAGACCTCATCCAATAGTATTTTTTTATGTTGTTATTCATKTAAGAGTTGTGCAAGTAGCTAGGAAGATTGGAATAGCTAGTATTCAAACAGAGTAGCTTTAAAAATATACTTCATGTTACCAGTTGAGGATTCTGGCACCACCACTCATTTCAAGACTACACTTGCAGCAATAGAAAACCAAGAATGAAAATTGATAAGGCCATTATTCTCATTTGTATGAAGAAATTTMTTCTTGATAATCCTTGTTCAAAATAGGTCACCATACTACTATTGTTGGACAGGGAAAGTTCTTGATTAAAATATTTTTGGACAGAGCAAAATTTATGTATTTTGACTCTTGTTCAGTACGTCTGATTATACAGGTTCTAGTATATACTGATCAGCACCAGTGCTTGAATTTGACTGACCAAAAAACTGTCAAATCCTTTAAGAAGTAAAGTGGGGGATATTCATTTAGTACTAGGACCAACAAACGAAATGATCACTAGTACTACTAGGTAGTAAATGTATTCTGGTGGTCTGGAGGATATAGTACTTTCAAAACGTCCTGTTAAAGTTATGTTTAACCTCATGAACTAGAAGAGGCACTTGTACTAGTAGTATGATGGCCAAAACCACCAAGACTTCTGGGGAGAAGAATACTCCCAGCTGCTCCAAGGTGACACCTCCATCCAAKGAGGGGTTGTGAAGGCACAACCAAGGTCTGGAGGATGTAGTACTAAACATGCATTGTCAAGAATCTGTAGAAACTGGTGGTTCAAGAAAAAGAGATGGAGGATAATAGTAGTGGAACAAGTACTAGTACTACTACCTCTTTGCTACTACTACTACTATTATGATCATAGTAATCTAGTACTTTTGCTGTGATGCAAGAAGGATTGTTAGAAATATATTGTGCAGGACTTTCAAAATATTGTATTGGTGATSCTGGCAACAAGGAGCAACTTATCTGCCTCGGCTGCTCAGTGCCTGTGCTGCTACTAGTAGTACTAAATACTACTACTAGCTAGTAGGCTCTGGATTAATCCAGGAGAGCTCTCAGAGTACACTTTTTTCATGCCACCTCACCACAATAGTACCAGTAGTAGTAGTA